ATAGTGGATGCGATAATCTCTCGCCAGAGCTTGTTGACCAACATTAAAGGTTCGCTACGGACCACTGTGTCGGATGTTGAATTGACGCTCCATCTGATTGTTGCGGGACGGCAACTGAACTTTCCTGGACTTGAGGGCATCATGCGGCACACGGATGTTTCGTTGAAACGAAGTTTCATCCGGAGATAGGGAGTTCGGTGTCTGCGGATACGGAGTTGTGAGATACGTCAGCAGAAATGTGTCATTTCATTTTTAGTAAACCTCTTTTGAGTGTATCCACAAAGCGTTCCGCTTGTCCGTTCGATTGTGGGTGGGAAGCTGGAGACCTTACGTGGACGATCGCGTTTCTGCGACAGAAGAGGACAAATTCAAATGAGGTAAATTGTGTTCCATTATCGGAAACCAACGTGTGGGTACCACCGAAACGAGCAAATATCTGTCGGAGAGCGGAGACAGTGGCTGCTGCTGTGGTTCTCACCAATGGATTCACCTCTGGCCATTTACTGTGGACATCGACAACGATGAGCAATTGATGACCATCAGTTGGACCCGCAAAGTCGACGTGTGCCCTTGACCATGGTTCCGTTGGTAGTAACCAGGATTTCAGTTCCGTCTTCCTTGGTTGTTTAGGTACACGGGCACATCGGAGACATTCCTTCGTTAAATTCTCGATCTCGGAATCCATATGGGGCCAATACACATAGTTTCGTACCAGCGCTTTCATATGATTCATTTCTCGGTGGCCAGTATGAAATTGTCGGGGGACTCTTTATTGAAGGATGTGAGGAATGACGACGCGATTTGAGAACAGCAGATAATTACTGGCGACTGATAGTGCTTCCTTTCGTTGGTGGAATTTTTGAAGCTCCAGCGTTGTAACCCTCTAAGGCCAGCCATTGTGGTGGAAATCGATCACTTGTTGTGGGGCAGAATCACAATGGGTCGCTTCCTGTACCATTTCGAACGTTACTGGTAAGACACCGAAAATGTCAGACACAACTTGATTTACTTGTGGTTCTACGGAGATTTGATCCAATACTAAAACCTCTGGTTCTTGATGCGGTGTACCAATTAAACGAGATAACGCATCTGCTTGACCAAGGTTGTGTGTAGATTGATATCTCACCACGGAATCGTAACCAAGTAGAACCATTGCCCAGCGTTGGAGACGACTGGCCGTGCAGACTGGAATGCCTTTCTTTGTTCCAAAAATTGCGACCAAGATTTTGTGGTCAGTGAACAGCGTGAATTTTCGTCCATAGAGCATTTTGTGAAATCGCTTGACAGCAAACACTAAAGACAATGCTTCTTTCTCGATCTGTCCATAGTTGCGTTCCGATGGAGTATGTGATCTGGCTGCATGTGACACAGCTTTCTCCGAACCATTGGGGAAAATGTGGGATATGACTGCTCTAATTCCGGAGTTGGACGCGTCAACAGCAACTATGATCTCCAGCTTTTGATTGAAATGCGTTAGCAATAGGTCAGGACACAATATAGACTTGATATTATCAAATGCCGGTTGACATTCAGGAGATCACACAAATTCGTGATCCCTTACCAGTAGTTCATTGAGCGGTTCACGTAGCTGATGCTTTTCTGGCACAAAAGGGCTGTAATGACTGATCAACCCCAAGAATGATCTGAGCTTCGTGACATTGTTAGGGGGAGGCATCTGTTTTATGGTACTTATGTTGGAAGGATCCGGACGGCGGCCATCCTTGTCGATGATGAAGCCAAGATATTTTACACACTTCATGCCTGTATTGCACTTTTCTGCTTTCAAGTGGAAACCGTAGTCATTACCGCGGTGGAGAACTGCTTCCAGTCTTTCCGTCAGCTGTCGAAAGGTAGCCCCTTTGATTATGATGTCTTCCAAGTAAGCTGCGACTGTTGATAACCCAGATAACTTCGTAGCCATAATTTGTTGAAAAATCGCGGGAGCTGATTTGACACTAAACGGCAAACGGTTGAACTGCTAAAGACCTCGGTGCGTATTGATTGCCATCAACTCCTTTGAAGCATCGTCGACTTCAATTTGAAAGTAAGCATCTGACAAATCTAGCTTTGCAAACTAAGCGCCACCACTGAGGTTAGCAAATAAATCTTCTGGGACTGGCAAAGGATACTGGTGCATTTTCAAAGCAGCATTCAATCCCATAGAGAAGTCAGCACAGATACGAACGGTTTCGTTGGTCGTCTTAACGACAACTATAGGTGCGGCCCAAGCTGAATAGTTCACAGTTTGGATGACGTCGGTCGGCTTCAAACAATCAAGTTCCGCATCAACAATCGGCAACGCAGCGTACGGTACCGGTCTTCTGGGTCGGAATATGGGTTTGGCACCGCCTTTGGGAGTAAGGCTTGCTTTGTTCTTTGTGCATTTTCCCAAGACGTTGCAAAAACACAGACGGGAATTTCCTTCGTGGCTGCTCGATCTGGTTGCTGTTTGGATCGTCACCTTCCGGAGAGAGTCTCGTATATCCGTGCCGGAGGGTTTTGCAGACTTGACTCAAGGAAATGTCGAACAGGTGGAGCTTATGGATCCAGTCGAGTCAAAGCAGATTCAAATGTGACAGTCCAGTAATGTACACGACACCGTTTGCCTGAGCAACGCCAAAAACCATTTCACACTGCAGCTCACCAATGAGATTAAGTTGACCTCCTGAAGCGTTAGTGCAACAGGTGTCGTTTGGCTGATTGACTGAGCACCAATATACTGCCAAGTTTTGCTGGGGATAATTGTGCTGTCCGAAGCTGTATCTAGCTGAAGACGCACTTGTTGCCCGTTCAGCTGAACTGTGAGGTAGTTTCTACGAGCCACAAGTTCATCAGAGTAGGCCGCTTGAATCGCACTATAGCTGTTGCATCTTTTGGGAACATTTGAATTCGGTCGCGTATGTCTTGCACGCTTGAACTGCCGTCTACATCGGCAGTGCGTTTCCTTTTAGCCCCGTTTATGACACTTGTGGCAAACATGTTTCAGGAATGGACACACTAGAACAAAATGCCACTCACCACATCTCCAACAGGCAGTCAAGGGCTTGGGATTCTCTCTGGGCTTTATATGGCCTGTTTCACTTGGAAGGGGTTTCTTTGAGGTTGTTTGTAATACACTAAGACTTGGAGTTGATTGTTGTTTCTCCAGCATAAGCGTGTCATGCTTGAGGTTTAACAATCTTTGGCATTCAGTGGTTATGGTCTGTAGAGTCATTTGCGGGTCTAGTTCAAGTTTACTCAGCAACCTGGTGCGAATCATTGCATTCCGTGGGGAATGTAGGCCACAGATCAAAATCAGGCATTTGAACTTATCTGTCGTGATGGATTTGATGTCGAATTTTTCGCACTCGCGATTGACGATGCCAGCGTAAAGTGACATAGTCATCAGCGTCCATCTTGATGACTTCAAGCATTGATATCGCGTGTTGAAGATGGATGACTGCTCTCCAAATATATGGCCCAAGCATTTGACAGTCTCCTCAAATGTGCAGTGTCGAGCGTTCTTAGGCAAAATAAAGTTGACATACCTGGAGTGCTCTGCTATTCCAAGTTTCCTTAACAGCAATCGACTTTCCAATCGTCATCATGGTCTCTAAGTTCAACGCGGAACACATCTTCATAACGCTTGAAACAATATTCAAAAGTAAGGCCAGCATCAGGGTGGTACAAAAATTCGGTAATGCTGTTAGCAATGGCGTCTACCGATGCGGACGGCTTGACGGTTGTAGAAAGTGAACCGGTCTGGATTGAGAGTTGTCGCGTAAGAGTTTCGATCAGCCTGATTTGGGACGCCTCCAATTGTGCTTGTTGCTGCAGCAGAATGGCCTTGAGCTCGTCAACCGATATGGAGGTCATGATTAGGGTTCAACCCGACGTCAGCTGAAGTGTTCGTCCCTCGCCTGAATGAACGCTTGATTCCAATCAAAACCCGAAGTAGCTGCCCCCACAGGACAGAAAGAAGACCGGATCGGTCTAGCGGAGCAACAGGGATGTATAAGAGAATGTCACCGTTCATTATAAAGGTGAAATGGAAAGTTCGTGAATGGTATTTAAAGCGACTGTGGAAAGCTCTGGAAATCTTAAGTTACAACCAATAAAGTAACTTCAACCTAGGGTTCATTGGCCGCTTCTCCTGGTTGGTTCACTGTTCGCCCTAATCAGGCTGAAGGAATTTGGATCGCCGGCCGCGGCGATGGGGTCCTGGTTTGTTCGACTCGCGTATTCCTTCCTAACATTACTATTTCTATATGCGTTTTCATTTTGTTCACTCCTTACCGATCATCCTACGGGTCATGTCAAGTTTCTGCTTTTTTCTCCGCAATTCACCATTGATCATTGACTCCAGAAGGAAGTATAGTACGGGTAACCCCCTTGAGAACTTGATGGTCACATAACGGAAGATAAAACCAAACCGTGTAGCCTTGTTGTTACTAAATGGAAGATACGTGGGCAACACAAAGAGCCAATGGTCTGTTAGTAGCTATGTAGATCAACTTTTTCCGGCATTTCGGTAGCAGCAAAATCAGTTGCTTTACACTCAGAGAAACGTTTTAGGTTGATCACAAAAACACCCTTACCTTAGCTCAAACTTACCACATTGAAATGCAACCGTATGGCACATGAATGTTTGCACTCTGCGACGGCGTATTTCTTACCTTGTACTTGTGGAGCAGTGTCTGACGTCAAGGGTTTTTCAGTCAAGGGAGGAATGTTGCTGACCCATCAACACGGCTAACCGGAACGGGCTGTCATCAGTATTCGCGTTGAGAAAAGCACACCTTAACCACGCAAAAGTTAGTTTGGCTAAAGCAAATTTGTGAATGAGCGGTTGAGTTTAGTTGAATATGAGTGTTGGTATTCAGTTGTTTGCGATCTCTTTCTTGCCAGGTGGAATCGCAGGTTAAAGTTGTCACGCTAGCGATCTCGTTTCACTGCACTGACAAAAAAATGCACCTACCACATAACAGTTGGGATAAGAGCTAGCACACTCATGGACTTACCGGTGATGTACAAATGTCTGCTGCATACATCGGATTAATTGCGATGAGATTGCCTCCCGAGGCGTAGGTGAAGAATTGACCTGAACCAAATCGCTGTATAAGGACGTGGGTCACACTGCACTCATTGATGAAGCGCAAACCAGCCAGATCTTCAATTCGGTCAAATGCAGGCGGGTTAGCCTGGAATAATAATAATGAAGCAACTCGTAAATCATAACGGAGCAGAGGGGTACGCGGCGACAGACGCGCTTGCAATGCATTACTCAGTTGACGCATATTGCATTCCGTTTGACACAAAGAACAATTAAAATACGTAAGGGCTCGTTATAGAAGGGGGTGGATGGATAACGTAGCATATGTGGACCCACTTGTACTTGCTACTGGTGACTTTTCACCAAAATTTGCTTGTTGTGGGAGATATCATGTGAATTGGGTCCTCACATAGTAAGACTCGGTATGTGATGCACACGCCATCGAGCGACCAGGAACCTATTAGTTCAGTGCTTAACAGCTGCTCCGATTCCAACACTGCAAGTCTCGTTGCTAGTAAGTCCATTTATATACGCCAGTTAAAGCAAGTGTGTGAAATGGCTTGTTCCTTTGGAATGGTCAGCAGTTTCGCCCACCGGGCTACTTGGGTAAGCCGATAAGGCTTGACGACGTATCTCAAAACAAAAGGTAGGTGAATGTTAACCGATGATAAGATACGCTGTCTGATTGCCATAAATCTACTCAAAATGTTGCAGTGGCTCAGGATTGGCTGTGTTCAAGGTCAAAACGTGTGGTCGTGCTGAAAGTATGCTCCTCTGCTTTTGGATCTGGTACTTGCAATCCTTGACGCGCATTACTGTACTTACACTTATCTAACTCCTATTTACCAGCGCTGTCCAGATCTACCACTGCAGTATTATTTAGCACACCATCTTTGCATGCGGTACTGCGATTTCAGCAGGATTTTCACCGAACTCCAAGTGTGCCTCAAGCTTAGTTTCGAGTACATCCCAGCATTCGTACAATCAGGCGACAGTGTTCTCTTAGCGCTAGCCAACGCTTCCTTTAGCACACTAACCCGACACTCTGCTTGATAGTTGCAGCTTGTTTAGCAGTGAACATCCTAACACACGCCAAACTAGTGTATTCTACCACACCCGTCAAAACGCAACGTTCCACCACGTCTAACCAGGCCCGATCGATAGCACAGCGCCCACTGCAGGTGCGTTGCCCTTCGTCGCCTTTGTCTACAACTGTCACACCCATTGTCAACCCACTTCGTGCGCCTATCCGAACACGCGGACTGACGAATCGACAATGGTTCGCAACACAGCAACAAGTAAAACGATTTGCACTCGGTCCACTCAGCCGCATACAAGTTATTCGTGCTTTGAACGCGTACTCCAAAACTATTCGAATTGCAGCAATTATAGTAAGTGCAGAAAGAATTTCATCCCCGGTGCGTAAACATAGGTGTAGCGAAAACAAGGGAACGACCTCGCACACCAGACTGCCTTTGGTTTTGTACTGAGTGTATGGTCAACCCACTCGTGAGGTGCTTCGCCGTGCTGGCAGGGAAATGTGACAAACTAACAAATATTGTACAGCGTGGAATGACTGATCTAGTGGTCGCATCGGAAACTGCTGTAGCCACACTCACCTAAGCGTACGCTCAAGCTTGGAACATAACAGTCAAAACCGGCGTATAGTTAACAGCGTACAGTCAGCAACTAACACGATAACTTGCAGACAGACGAGCAACGAAGGACTGCCAACCCCTGCGACTCAAATGTTGCAGAGCTCGATCTCGGTCTCACACGATACTCCATTGCATTCTTATTTACCTAACAATACCTGAAGTCCAACAACATACGCATCTATCGTAGCTACATGTAGACTCAAGGCAAAGTTGGCGGGCATGTCTAAATCACTCCAAAGATTGTTAAAAGCTGCACAAATACCAATGCGCCCCCGAAAAGCCGTCCTACCACACCACCAGCAAAAGGAGGCACTCTCGTATCCAAAAGTACGAATAAAAGGAAGACGCAGAACATGCTGCAGATAATATGTTTCAACTTGCCTGAGTTAATGGCAAACACATTCAAAGAGAACTATTGGACGCCATGAAATACGTTTAGTTCAGCGACCAGCGCCAAGGATGCAGCCAACGTCTTACGGCTACAATATGCCCCAAATTTCCGACGTGTTACCAGCATTTGTAACATACCTGTCCCATTCTTCCAGATGCCAGTATTTACACACGTCACGATTAGTTCAGAGACCATTTTGAGGAAACTGCTGTCGTTGCACACCAATAGTTCCACCGGATTTGAAAACATTCCCCCGAAGGCGCTACAGGTGTCAGCTACTAGGATAGCGGAATAATTAACGAGATATTTCCAAAGATGTCTGAACGAACAGCAGGTCACTAGGATGTAGAAGTAAGGCATCATTAACCCGATTTTCAAGAGTAGTAGCTGTTCAGAGCCGGCTAATCATCGCCCAGTAATTCTCCTCCCGGTGCTCTCAAAGGTGATTGAATCGATCATAGCAGAGGCGATAACGGGCTGCTTCGAAAAGTCTAACATCTTAGCGCTGGAGCAACACGGATTCCGTCAGCATCGGTCATATACTACCAATCTGCTGATTGTCCGTGGCAGTTGGACCGAGTTAGCCGACAGTGGGACCGGCATTGTCGTCGCCCACTTTGACTTTTCTAAAGCTTTCGATCGCATAGATCATCGCATTCTTCTCCAAAAGCTGCAAGAATACGGAGCTGGAAGCTTTGTCCTCGGATGAATCGGAAACTTCCTCCTTCTGCGGCGCTTTCAGGTTCGCGTTCGAGGTTCCTTTTATGATCCAATTGATGTGGACTGCGGTGTTTCACAAGGGTCAGTGTTAGGGCCGCGGTTATTCTTGTTCTTCATTAACCACCTTGCGAGAGTCATCAAGTCAAATTTTCTGCTTTTTGCCGATGACATCAAGGCATGGTAGGCAGCCGACTGTCAGGAAGACCACGATATGTTGCAACGAGACTTAGAGCACGCTTTTGCATGGCCAAAGGTAAATCTACTTCTGTTTAACACGCACGAATGCAAACTGTGCATATCCGCCTCAAGCCCAGGGACGTATATAAGCTTAGAGGTGATTAGCTGAAAACCGCCTCACAAGGGCGAAGCCTTGGGGTGGTGATGCAAGGTGGTCATGGCTGTTCGGCGCAGTACTGAAGGCGTACAAAAGCATGAACCAACATGTTGGCCTGTTACGGAGGTCTTTCGGGCTGTTCGATCCCCCATCTTCCCCCAACCACTCAATGTATATGCGAGGCCCCATGTAGAGTACGCGGTCCAGGCTTGGCTGCCCCGTTTAAAACGCGACCTGGTTGCACTTGAGACCGCCCAGCGAAGGCTAACGGAAAATGTGACGGGGTTGTTCCACCTGCAATATCATAGGCGACTGAGAGCCCTGGGAGTGTAGAGGATAAGATACCGTCGTCTTCGGGATGACCTCTTCCTGACATTCCAGAACTTGAACAACCCCGGTCACGCTTACCGCCACCTCGCAAAGCATAGCTGTAACATAGAATTGCGGGGTCATAAGTTGAAGCTTGCCACCCAGTATAGTCGGCTTGAGTGCAGCCGGAATTATTTTTCCCTTCGAAGTTGTCAACCATGGAAAGCTCTTTCGACTTTTGTCATTTCCGCGCACACGGTACCTATTTTGAAATAAGGACTCGAAGATACTTTACATCATTTCACTCCTTGATCTGGTTTCTATTTATTGGTTGACGGAAAGACACAGACAAACTTTGTGCTCATTAACCTCATCAATTCGGGGTAGACGTATATACGTTTGTGTTGACGTGGATAAAATAGCCAGTCCACAGATGGTTTTTCTCTTTTTTGTAGCCGTTTAACTGACACTTTTCCCACAAACCTTCCCACGGGGCTTATGAAGCCTTGGATATTTTTCCGTATTATACCATTGTTCCCTTTTTCCTCGAATCGGTCAGTCGAATAGCCGAACTGCCCCAACGCAGACCAGCGCCTCGTCACTGTACCTCCTCGATAGTTATATGCACCAGGAGTTTACTGCCTAGTGTAATGAGTAGTAAATCTGTTCAGAAATATCATGATGGTGACCATAGGGAGGTGAGACGAAAAGCTGTTTCGCAACTCGTCCGCGAGGCGCTGAGTTGATGGATGTTCGTTGGCCGTCGTGATTGTTCTGAAAATCGGTGGATCAATAATCAATTAGAATGCATGGTGGGATGACTAGTTTGCGTACAAAGACAATCAAGGTCTGATCATGGCTGAAATTCCGCTTAGAGGATTGGGTCTACCAGCTTCACCAAGCCAAGATAAGATTGGCGACCAACTCGGTCTGCTTACACAGTGGATTTCAGACGCTTAATTGTAGGGGTGTTAGCAAACTGAAGCAAGCGAGCAGTGCTCTGTCGGTCGATTGCACTGAAAGATTCACGTAGGTTTTCAAACTCGGGGCAGTCAAGTACGTGTCTGGCGATGGAAGTGGCGGGCAGCTTTGGTTCAGTCGCGAACAGGTTTCGCCGAATATATTCTAAGATCCTTAGGGACAGTCTCCGTGTTTGAGTGTCGTGCTATGAGCTTCTCCTGATATCTGTTTTCAAGTACTGTCCTGGAGACAAATTACAACTCACTTTCGATCGTCTGTAAATCATAGGATAGGTGCACAGATGGAATAACTGTACCATTTAGGTTTCTTTTTAGCTTAACAACTAAAAACGGAAGACACCGGAAGATTGGTTTGCAGCTGTGAATTTGATCGTGAGGTGGCGGTTGCTTAGAGCCCATACTAGGTATCCTGTATTTTCGACAAAATCTAGAACGGCAAAAGCGTCATGTATGTAGTGGCTGATGACCGAAAACCCACCGTATACAAAAAAGCTTACGCGAAAATTGCGTACAGCCAAAAGCGTACATGAAATACGCGTGCACGGAGAAAAGCCTACAGGGAAAATCGCGTACACAGAAGAAAGCCTACACGGAAAATTGCGTACACGGAAAAATGCGTACGCGGGAAATGCGTACATGGAATATTTCACCCTTGGATACGATATACGGCGAACACGGAAATATATCAGTTCGATCACTTTGTACATAAACGACTGTCCATCTTGCGAAATCCCCGTAATTCATTCAGAATATTCAACGGACGGAACATTACTCGCCTACTGCAATTTACCGACACATCAGAGAGTCGGAGGTTCTTACGCACTTGGTGTGGCCTGACGGAGTTCGTGGCTAGCCTAGCCTTGGCTTGATGAGGTTAGTGCCCGCGTCAGATGCTCGATAGCCATTTGCTCACAATGGAAGGGTGCTCACATCGTAAATTCCCCAATCAGAAAATCGCTTGGACGGAACATTTTTGGTCGTCTGCAGAGGTACACAGTTTTTTCAATACAATGTGTACAACTGTAATCTGTCACTACTTCCATTGCACACTTGACCGATGCGAAAGATGAACTGTCAGTTAAAGACGTTTTTAGTAAACCGAAAAGCACGCCCACAGTTGGATCCTTCGCACATCTGCGACACGCGCTGCCTTTCCCGCTTCCCCAACCGGCATGTTTCACCGGCGTCACTATGTAGGAGACATCCGTATGCGTACAATAAAACCATGGCCCATCATGATTTCGTTCCGCTGGACTGATAACTGGGTCTGCCGTCAAAAAGTGTTCACGCACTCGATCTGGTCACGTTAGAGTCACCTAATCGCTCATGTTTCGGCAAACTGCAGTAGGCGAGTAGTGTTCTGTCTGTTGAGTATTCTGAATGAGTCATGAGGGTTTTGACACGTTGAGCAGTCGTTTATGTGCAAAGCGATCTGTGTTCGTCGTATATCCTGTGCACCATTTTTCAAGGGTAAAATTTTCCGTATACGCATTTTGCGTGCACGCTTTCATCATGGAACCGTAGTAACTAGATGAAAGCACGTTTTGTATGCAAGGACGTAGCTTAGTGTCTTCCAGGTGGCCCATGAAGATATATGCCAAGACAATCCCAAATAGACTGTCCATGGCTTAACCACCAGTCTGTCGCTAAAGAACGCGGTTGAAATTAAACTGGATGTCGTCCGTGTACCAACGAAGTAGTGACTTCAGATGGTGAGCTGCAAACCCAGATTTTCCAGGATGTACGCTCACTATGTCCAAAATCTCTTCTAACGGAATATTCGTGAACAGTGAACACACATAAACAAAAACGAGATTAGGGTACAGGGTGGAAACACATGGTCCCGTTTGACCTACCAAAATATCAGTCACTTAACTGTCTTTCTCTGGGGGAAATGAGGTACACAGTATACGCACGAGTGACCGGACTTACACGTTCCAGATCCATTGCGTCCACTTCAAGCTTTTCTTTTTCAGGTAGCAAGAGAATCAAACAGCGATCATCGGACGTATACTTCAGCAGCAGTGCAGACTTGTAGCCAGCTCTTACGGTTAACCAGACAGGGACATTTTCCTCCGCACCAGAGTCGAACCTTTCTTCCGGCATCGATCGATTTCGGGAAAATTGTATTGAACCAGAGGGAACGCAAGCGAATTTCTTGTGTCCGGTGCGTATATGCGACGTGATCTTGGAATGTCAGGTGAAACGGACATGGTATTTTGAGAACTTGTCATAAGCTAGTTCAATGACTTTAAACTGGTTAAGCAGCCATCGAACTGAATCCCTGTCTTACGCGCTCCTAAACGCACATGTCTAAGCATTAACATCAGTGCTGTTCCTTTCGGTGGCGGCTTGATAGAACGGTGATAACTGAGGTTTACTTTCAACTTGACGAAGAAAGCGCATTTGATGGACATGAGTGGAAAAGTGGTGACATTGCCTCATCAAAAATTTGCGACAGTTTCCATGGGACTATTCCCAGTTCTACTTGGTCAGACAGATAGTACCTGTTTAGATAATCATTGGACAAAAGTTTCGTCTTTTTGGGCCTCATCAACAGAATACAACCACTCTGAGCTCGAATGTGCTCGGACCCATGACCATTCCCGTGTACGGTAGCAACTTAGGCAACTGGACCCTGGGTGAGAGTTGGGGTTGATGTGATTAAACTGTTAACTGTAGTCCAACGGGATTTCTGTGCCAGACAGTAGACGAAATCTTATCGGTTGGTCAGTATTTTTGTCAGTAAGCCTTCAAATATCCTACAGAATGATAATTAGGTTACAGTTTACAAGTCAGTATAGATTTTGGCAGTTGACTATGCTCCAGGTGGCTTGTTTACACGTGGTTAATATTCATTGATCTATGGTGATCATGAGGTCTTGTTTGAGTGCTGATGCTGGCGCTATACTGACTCTAACACTTGATGCGAGTTTGTTCCAGATGCTGTGTCCACACTGAGCCTCACAACAAAGGAGGTGGGATTCATCCGTCCAGCTCGCTTACTTCACACCTCGCGAAACCGCCTTAACTGGGCGACTCGATTCTCTAACTAAATACCACTCTAAAAACAATTACGTTTTAATCTGGTAGACATCTTCAACCCAGACTATTTAGCTGAGATGAGCTTAAGACCATACAAATATGGTCCAGAAAAGATGCGACACTTTGAGGACTGTAAACAGTCTAGTCAAGTTAGACAGCGACCTAAGTGTGTCTTGAGCGCAAATACTTCAACTGGGATGGCGGTGGTAGATACAGAGGAAGGTGATCCTACCGGACTGTACTTCTGATGGCTGACTGAGATAGCCGACAGTGATGGTGTTACTAGCGTCATCATCATCAACAACAACGAGCACAATAATAATAATAATAATAATAATAATAATAATAATATATAAAACTATAATAATAACTAACTATCAAAATTGGTGCCGTTTGTACTTATGTGTCTCAGTCTCAATGTTATGATGCAATATTATGCAGAATCGACGGAGTATTAGTAACTCACTTCTGTCTCGTTATCGTACTAGGGATACACAATGAAGAACCAGATCATTAATCCCTTTTACAATCCAACGATTTGGTAGATGCACAAATGATGACGAACGAAAGATTGAATATGGGCATAAAATGGAACATGCAAGGGTACAATCCTCCAAGTCCACTTATCTACTAGTGGTAGAACCCTTTGCAGTGTAACACGTGCCGCTCTGGTGTACGACATCGCGTGCCCTTGATACCACTCAGCATTAAGTATGTAGTTAGCATGTGAATGAGGACATGCGCCAATCCCGAATGGTCTCGGAAACACTCGTTGCCACACAAATGCGCGGCTAGTGATCGATAGTGTCCATCAACAATGTCTGTTTACAGGGGTAGTGTAGCGCGCATCGTGCCAGTAAGCTGAAGGTAAATGGATATGAGGCATAGCTTGGAGAATGACCTTCATGGGAACAAGATTAAACATTTCTGACTACTCCACTGCAAAACAGGTCATGCAGGTCAAGGGGCTAGTCTGAAATGGTGCATTCACGGAAATATGGTGTGTCAATGCCGGTACACCTAAGCACTGGTGATGTATGGGACTCAATGGAATAACAGAACAACGGTATAACAAGGGTAGAAAAACCAAGACTTGAGAGCTCCATTGGGATGGTCTGTGCGAATTACATAAGTTCAAAGAAAAGGTGACAGTACGGTGAAACGCGCGTCTGTGCACTCAACATAGTATTTATGTCAGCACACAGTAAATCCGCCTATCCCGATTTCGAAGGGGCTGGTGAGCACAATTTGTGCCTCTCGTGTCACTCAATGAACGGAATCTATATTGCATAATGCAGATGGCCTAATGCATCGTCAAGTCGCTTTTCAAATGGGTAACATGGGCGCAGAAATGGTGAATGTTTGAAGGGTGTTCCACGGTCGATAAATTCTGAAAGAAAAATAATTCCGTCGACATTCCAGCCAGCTGTATCGAGTGACAAGTTTCAGCTGGTGACAGCAAACGTGACCGCCTTTTTTCAAGGCGTGGTGCGTCCGAATGAGGTGACCTCGTAGGCGATGATAACTGCCACTGTACACTTCTAGAGTTATCAGACGCAGTTTCTATGACAGGTGGAACAAGCTCTTCACATTTTTGATTGCTCTTCACTGTGGGGTTTCCAGTGCAGCCAGAGTGCGGTTAGGCAGGGTTGCCAAGCCTGAAATGCAACTCTACGCAATTGTGGAAAAAAGGAAGGGTCGAACCGGCCGAACACGTTGCAAAAGAGACCAACATGTTGTTTGGTGAACTGTGCCGAACAGTCGAGTTTATCTTGAGTCACCACCTTAAGGTAGCACTCCCGAGCGGCTTTCTTCAGAATATGTTCCCCAAGTTCATTGGCCTTGTTGCGTTCATGGCGTAAAGCTACTATTATTTGTATTCGCGTTGAACTTGAGTAGACTCATGTTTGACGCCTTTATGCACGGAGTAAGTCTTGTTGCAGCAAGTCATCTTTTTCCTGATTGCCGATTTTGCGCCATATCTTGATGGCATCGGTAAACGGCAAAATGTTTGATTTGATGACACGCGCGATGCCGTTAAGGCAAATCAGGAATAAGCGTGGCCTCAACACTGATCCTTGTGGAACACTGCAGTCCACCTCAGTAAGATCGACAATGAGCTCTAACCAAAATCTGAAATTATCGCTGAAGAATGGAGTTTTCCATCCATCCAGTGACGGTTCCCAATTCCATATCTTTCCAGATTTAGGAGAAAGATGCGGTGATCTAAGAGCTCGAAGGCTTTAGAAAAGTCAAAATTGATGACATGGGTCCCAGTCCCACTAGCTACTTTTATGCTTCAACTACCACGCGCAATCAATACGCTGGTAGTACATGACCAACGTTGACATATGCGGCATTTCTCGAGCGCCTGGGTTTTAAATCTTGCCAAATAGCCCATTAGTACGTTAGATATGCTCACGTGCATTAACTTTGAGGGCACTGGGAGGATGATCACTAGGCGACAGTTGGTGGGTTCCGAACGGTTACCACTATTAAATCCGGGGTAATGATATTCTGCTTCCACCGCCAGGAATCTGCTGTTCATACATGCATCTTTGAAAGAACCTCGATAATGGCTTGGCTACCCCCGCAGCTGTTACCTGCATAACTTTCAGAGGAACGTTGTCAACTCCTGGAAACTTATCGGTGCGCAGCGATAGCAGATTCCTCAATGCAATCGCTGAACTAAAAGTGATTTTGGTGAATTATGATGTTGGGGGTTAGAATAAGTGTGTAGCTCATTCTGTTGGCGCGTCAGAATATTGGACCATATTGGAGCACTAGAGTGTTGGCTGCATCGTCGTTGCTTTCAGCACATCCATTGTTGAGAAGATTGGAGGACATTGCGTTTCACTTTCTGGATGCTTTTCACGTGTTTGTACAGTAGTTAATTATTGACACGAAACTTTTTCGCTGGGCACTGCTGGTGTACTAAATTTTCCTCATGGACAAATGTGGTACCGTGATTACACTGCACAACTTACTTGCTCCAGTTGTCAGGAGTAGAGTTCGCTTGCACACACACCACGCTGCATCTGTTACCTCCGTGTGTGTGCGAGTTTTGCTCCGATACCATCATGATGCTCTTGAAGAACGAAGAAGTCGTATTTCCGACGGGGATGGGATCAGATCACTAAACTTGCCAACAAACTCCACCCAAGTATTATTAATTGAACTGTCATCCAAAGATTTCCAGATGGTTTTTCCAACGAGCTCTGTTAGTGTGCCGCAGTGCGTGGTTGTACAATACAACTTAATATGTTCCTGTGGATAGTCATAATACCACACACAGTCGTACAGTTTAGTGACGTGATCACTTAGTTCCGGAGCACTCTCCATTGCTGGCCTATCGACCGTGAGCTCTTTGTTCACAAGTTCGAAAGCAAGCATGGATGGATAATTTCCCGCTTTGAATCTGGTGTGCGAAGTGACATGGATGATGAGCGCAACGCTTGCAATCAAGCTGCAAGTCAGTCTTGAACTGTTCACCGGAGGATGCCGGAACTTCCAGATTATGAACACTGAATTCTTCTGAAACGACAGCAGGACAGTATCTTGGTCGCAAGACTCTTCCAAAGGCTATCGTCAGGAGGGAGTCCATCTCTGAAGTGGACACTGGGGGGTAGTAAACAGCTACAACAATGCAGGATTCCTTGCGTTTCAGTCTTATATGGCACCAGTTTGAGCTTTATGATCCGTGTTTATGGATCGGACAATATTTTGCAATACAGGCCACGGCGATAATACTGAAGAACCCCACCTCCACTGAGGATATACCCTGTATCACGATTTCGGCGTCGGCAAGTTCTAAGTGTAGTCAACTTACAGTTATGGAGATGAGATCCCAGACGTACGTAGCCGCAATTCGGCAAACTTTTGACATGACTTTGTGCGATGGTGTACAGTTAAGTAAGTTTCTCTGCTCACAATGGGAAACCGGGGAACGCGTGTTTCGAGTGCGGTGTAGAGCTGACCGGTGGATGGACGGCAAATATCCACTTTTAGATGGAACAATAACATATGAATCTGCTGCAGATTCCACAACTTAAAAATTTGCT